TTAACCAATTAAAGTTTATAAGTTATAGATTAATATGTATCAAAAATTTCAATTTTTTAAAAAATGTCTCAGAACCCAATTTTTCTAGCAAACCTCCCTATTGTTAATTTACTGACTCTTCAATTTTGGGCAATTCCTCATCACCTTCTCGTAACTTTCTTGTTACTTTCGAGATATATTTGCAGGATGTTGTAAGCACTTCTGAGGCCTGATCATGGTTTAAACTGGGTCGAGGCAATGAGTATGCTAATTTTTTGAGTATCACTAGTGTCACTAGTGTCATCAGCTAGTATTCAGAACTAGTAACAGAACTAGTGACGGATTTGTTATCTTTCTTGAGACTATTAGACTATTTTATTTCTTTCTTGATTAGTGTCACTAGTGTCACTAGTAAAAGAGTACTAAATTTTAGAAAAAAAATTTTATTTTTCTATGATACTCCTATAGTATATATGTATCGTGATATAGTGTATGTATGATATTTATATGATGTATATATGCTATAAAAAAAAACAAAAAAAGTTAAAAACTTCAGATTTTTTCCAGTAACAGTAGTGACTCTAGTGACATTCATCAAGAAAACTTTCTTTCGGCCTAAAATTCCTAAAAAGCCTATTGTCTGCATTATTAGTTCTGTCATCAGCTTTTATTCTAGTAACACTAGCGTCAAGTTATATCATTTTTGTTTACCTCTAAATTATCTACTAGTATCTGCGTCAAAGCCAACTTGGCTTGTTTTTTCCGATGATAATATTCCCTCAATCTATGTTTTTTTGCAAGCGTATCGCAATAGTCATATCTGGAACTTGTTGGCTTACCATATTCTTTGCAAGGAACTTGCCTAGAATTCTGATGGACTTTACATCCCTTTGGATCATAGCATCTCCGATTGCACACTTCTCCAATCCTAAAAATATATTAACAATAATAAAAATTCCAGGATGGATCTTTCTAGGATTGTGTCTCCTTTTTTCTACCTCCCATTTGTATATATCTATTAATAATGTCAGGGAATAATTTTCATTTTAAACTTTTTTCTTACGAATAATATACCTCGTGTTTTGGTATAACTATAAATTATCTTAAATTGCTTGAGAAAAAATGACACAATCTGAGCTTTCAGAGTTACTCAACGTCCCTGCCCCTTTTCACCCAAAGGTTGAAAAAGAAAAATACCAGGCCAGATAATTCATTATTCTGGTGAAAAATATTTGACCAGTATTCCAACATGAGATGATATAGTAGCGAAAAATGATGACCTTAAGAGTTTGGGATTAACTGCAATCCTTGAGGATGCTCTATCCAATTGCCAAAATATTCCATTCATGGCTATTGACAATGAAGGGTTATCAAAAAAATAAATGAAAAGTACTGCTATGTATTATGTCTCTACAGTTTTCTAATTAATAGCCAAAAAGCGATAGTAATACTTTTAGGCATTCAGGTTTTCTTCGACATTCTTGTACCGAATGGAGAGTCACCAGATAATTGTGAAACAAAAGTAAGAGGTATTCTCTCTGGTAGTAAGGTGAAGACTTTAAAAATAGAGCAGATTAAAGCTTTTCCTTTCCGCAGTTATCATACAGAAAAAAAGACATATTTACGAATTTATACAAGTGGCACTGGTAAAAGAAAGACAGCCATGAAAGCCATTCAAGATAATAATTACGAAACTGCATCAGATGACTTGTACTCATTTCACCGTAAAGTGGCAAGAGAGAATAGAATCCAACTTTCTGGATGGTCTATGCTAAGTAATTATATATGTAAGAATAGAATTGATCTTTTCTGCCTGCACGCATTCTATACTTTTAAAAAAGATTTCTGTCCGCTAAAGGATTTTACAAAAATAAGTGACCAATTTCCTACTTTAGCTCTCTTACGGGATCGTACTCTTGTCTTCACGTGGGATATAGAGACGCAATCCCAAGAGTTAGGTAAATTTACCGAAGTCCTTGATCTGAATCATAATGTTATTATGATTTACATGACACTCCATTAGAAAGATGATCCAAAGTCATTAAAACAGATTTGTCTTATAAACATTGAGACAGAACCAGATTCACAACGGATTACAATCATTTGCGGAAATCAAGTAAATCTGCTAAAAGCTTTCGTTCTCTGCTGGCGAGCATTTGCCTCTGACATCCAAGTTGGGTTAACGATTCAGACTATGATTGGTATTTCATTATGGAAAGAGCCTATCATCTTAACATACTCGAATGGATGTGGAAGTAAATGACAGGAAAGTTTGAAACAAAGGAAAAAATTCTAAAGTGAAAATATCGTGGAAAGATAGGAGCGAAATCAGAAAATAATTTTAAGAAAGGAAAGAAAAAGAATACAGATGAAGAGGAGACTATATGGGGATCGAGTGAAGAGATCAAGAAGGAAAAGGATTTTATGGGAGCAATTAAGATCAAAATTACTGCAGAAGAGAATTTCTTTTTCAGTTTTCTTAAACTGCCAGGATGCGTACCAATTAATATTTGAGTGTGTCTCAAAAAACATTACCCTCGTTCAGAAGTAGAAAAGGAAGTTTCACTTAAATTCTTCTTAAAAAAGTGTGGTTTTGATGCTAAAGCTGACATGCCATATGATGAAATATGGAGAATATATTCAGAAGCAAAAGAGCACCCCTCGTCGATAACTGGGAAAAAAATGCATAAAGTAGCAAATTATTGTATTATAGATGCATTGCGTTGCCAGGAGCTTTTGGTAAAGCTAAGTCAAATAAATGATTACAGAGAGGTCGCTTTCATAACTTATGTATCTTGTTCGACTCACATTATCGTACAAATAGAATGAAGATGAAGATACGAAACCTTCTAGGCACTTATGCTTTTAAACGAGATATGGTATTTAGCACAAGAGTATGTGAAAATATAGAAAAAAGAAATATCCTGGCGCCTATATTTTTCCACCTAAAAAGGGGATTGAATCAAGAAGACCTGTAACGGGATTAGATTTTGCCTCATTATATCCCAGTCTCATTATGGCTTACAATCTCTCTCCAGATAAAATAATACTAACACATAGAGAGGCCGATATTGCAGAAAAAAATGGAAACATTTTATATAAGATTGAGTTTCCCTTTAATAACCGCACTGTCTAAGCCTGAAGTATAAGACATGATAATCAATTCAAAAAGAAAGGCTTATATCCTGTTGTATTAGAGGATTTATTCAACAAGAGAGTAGAGCTTAAAGCACATCTTGCCCAACTTGGAAAGAAAAAGCTACAACTTGCGAAGATAATAAGTTCAGCTAAAAAAAGAGGCAAAAGAATTTTGGAGAGCTTAAATTCAGAATATTCATTCGTATGCTTCGATTATGATTATTTTAATTCGAAGCAAAGAGCTCTGAAGGTATATATAAACACTTTTTATGAGAAGCTAGAAACTCAAAATCTCCTATCTTTCTTTGCAAATTGGCTGGAAGAACTACTTTAATTGGAAAATACAACCTTAATCTTGTCGCAGAATTCGTAACAAATAAAGAGTTTGAGATAAAATATGGTGATACTGATTCTTTGTATCTCACCTATCCAGATAAGTATTATAAAAAATGTGATGAAACCTTTTCTAGAAAAGAACTTTCTAAGGAAGCATACTAGGCTGAAATGGTCAAAATTACTATGAATGTGATGAAAAGCTTGCATGATTAAGTAAATGCTTATCTTAGAATAAAAAGTGGCACATCTTGCCTTAAGATGACATATGAAAAGGTATTATTTCCCGTCTGCTTCACCGGTAAGAAAAAATATTTCAGTATACCACATGAAGAGGTGATCAATTTTAGGTCAGATGGTTTCTTTATGAGAGGAATTGATACTGTGAAGCAAGTGAATTCTAAGCTCTTCAGGTTTATTGGAGAAAAGTTTATGTGGGAGGCTATAAGTATCATTAATACACGTTCAATTCATGAAATTGTTGAAGACGCTTTCTGAGATGCTAAATTTAAGCAGTGGGATTTTAACCAGTTTATTGCAATATCTAAATGGAAGGCTAAAGGAGGCCTTCCATGCAATAAAATCTTTATGGAACGGATGAGAAAAAGAATAACAAGTGGGAAAAAAATATAAAGATCCCTGACTCTGGCGAGTACTTTAGCTATGTTGTAGTGAACAATGGTCACCGCTATAAAGAAGATGGCATGAAATCAACAAGGAAAGGCGATTATATAGAGTTCGCAAATATTGCGAAAGAGTTTAATATAGAGATAGATATCAGCTACTATTTAGAACAAACAGTAGGAATGTGCGCACATTTCATTAATGATGATGATAGTTTTCAACTGTTCCCATCAGATAAAATAATGCAGATTAAAGATTCAGATAAAAGTGAAAAGGAAATCGATGATTATTCCCAGCGAAAGGCAAAAAACTGGCTTAAAAAATATATAAAAGGCTTGCAATAAACTTTCTAAGTACTCTTAGCGGGATGTGTCAATTTCAGCTAAGAAAATATTATTTATATTTTTTCTTATATAATAATACCAGCTAACTTCAATTTCTATCTTCAAACTTCCAGCCTCTGATCATACAGCCCGGCCTCAGAAATACCCAAAGAAAATCATGTGACTAAAATTTCTGAGACCGTCGGTCCGAAATCTGTGGGAATATAGTTAGCAAAATCCAATATTAACACTATTTTTAAACACAAGATTCATCAGCATAATGGCTGAACTACGCGACATAATTTCCCAATACATAGGCTTCAAATCCAACGAAATTTGTTTCCCGATCACAAAAGAGGATAGGTGGCTATTTAGTAAGATAATATCAGATCAGGAAGGAATAGCAGATATCGTAATGGGTGACTATCGATTTTTACAACATCATAGGCATAATGGTAAGGGAGGTGATCAGATCCATATTAGATGGTTATTTGCATGTACAATGGCCTAAGCTAAAAAAGTCTTGATAAATCCAACTGAAGATTTATCAGAAAAGCTATTAGCTCACACTAAGAAAAGATTTGAAGAAGTTCTTCTTGCGCCAGTACTTATACGGTAGTTGATTAGGGTTTGAGATAATAAAAATCTGGTCTGGCCAGCCCTCTCGTTCAAGAACTTTGAGGTGGATATTTTAGAATCTTTTTTATCATTACCACCCACAATCTTTAGAGGCCTTGGAGAGACAGAATAAGGAAACGCATGTTCTATATTAATATTCTTTTCGTGAGCGAGATATCGCTCAGTTTTTTTTTATGTATTCTATAGTTTTTTCACAACAATGATCAATATAATTATGATTAATAGGAAGAGTATTATTGAATAGGTAAATAAAAATGACAAAAATTCATCTGCAATGATAGGAGAGCCTGATAGTTTCACCATTCCTTCTGCGCTACCTACTGAAACCTCGTTTGCCAAAATGACAGGTAGGATTGGCTCAAGAAGGTTAGATTTTGAATTTACACTATTTGAATCACTAGTCTTTTCTTCTTCTATAGGACTGTCTGGCGTGCCTATAACTGAAGAAGCACTAATATCATTTTTTTGCCTTACAAAGCAACTATCAGCCCACTTTTTATATATGGATCTGACTGATTATTCTTATCAGAGTATCCTAGGGCCAATAGATTAATCACAGACTAAAGTGATTTCACTTTCTCTAATTTTGCAAAGTTATCGGCTTCAGCTTTAGTGAGAGATATTTCTGTACAAGCATTCTGGGAGACAAGTTTGGAGTTTTCAACCTTCAACTGCCTATTCTTATCATTAAGTTTTATATATTCGCTTTGCAACCTAGCATTATAATCTCAAATTTTGGATGAGTCTTGCAAGATGTGGTATATCTTCTTTTCAAGATCATATGTTCCCATTTATTTACATTTGCCATAAACTGTAAAAAAACTTTTCATATTTTTTCCCCCTTCTCTAAAGACTACGAGATGGAGTTAGTAAAGGGAGAAAGTTTGACCAACAGTTAAACTTTATCATTTTTTCAAATTAATGACCGGAGGAAGAAAAAAGCAGGAACAATTACAATAAATATAGAATGAATAGAAAGGATATCAATCATTTTTTATCATTAATTACAGATAGTGAATTAGAATGGAATTTATCTATCTAAAACAATAAATTATATATTTTAGCATTCTCTCTCATCCTAAATCCATAAATATTGAATTCTAATATTTATTATTCATATAAAACGATAAATATTAATGCCTAATATTTTTTATGCTTCTAATACATTGTCTAAAAATATCAGAGGAGTATATCTACCTCGATTTTAAAAACTCATTATCGGCGAAGTGCCACAGTCTTGACTTCTGAGCAGATTGAAGAAATTAGACATCTTAAAAATAAAGTTCTGATATATATGATAGTAAAGGAGTACCATATTAATAAAAATCATGTTCATGATATATGAAATGATTGTGAGCGTTTTCAGCAAAATGGAAACCACTTTCTCGAGAAGCTTAAGAAGATACAATCCATCTCATCAGTCCCTCCTTCAGAAAATAATCCGTAAGAAAAAGAAAATAATCATCACACTTCAGGATCTTTAGATCCATTTCATGAGTCTATTGAGATAAATGTGTAAGAAAAGCAAGAAAAGAAAAGAAACTAATAAAGCGGCCTCTCCAGAACCAGCCCAAATCTATTCAAAATACTGACTTACCTGAGATTTTGGCTGGGAGTCTTTATCAAAACTCCACCCTAGAGATTTCGCATGATATATTTGCTTCAATCGAAAAGGATCGTATCAAAGCAGAGGAAGCTATACGCGAATCAGAAAAACTCCTAGGTCGCAACCCACCTTTCATTATATTCAGATAAAAAATGCTTCACAGGAGTCTCGGTGAGACCATGTTTGCATAGCAAACGATAAATAGTTAACAAGAAGAAAAGGATCGTAAATTTTTATTAATCTTAATTAATCTAGCTTTGGGGATGAGAGTATTATACAGCAGTTTTTCAAGCTTTTCATAACTCATGCGTTTTTTAATGTCTCATTCTCACTTAACTCCTATGTGTTCTGAGAAACTTTGTCCAGAACTGACAGATCATCACATTCAGAAGTGGTAGTCGCACAATTCACCTTGAGCTTGTTCTTGACCTTATGCATAGTAACCGGGATAATATAGTCCTTTTCATTAAGAGGGATCTTTAGCTCATTTGTATTCCAGTCTACTGCGCACCCATATTTCTTTAAGAGTTGGTTGGAAAATATTAGCGTTGGCTTGTGATAATCTACAATCACAAAATCTTCATGAATGGTGCATCCAGGAGCTAAAGTAATAGGCAGATTGCAAACAATACCCATAGATTCAATCGGGACAGTAGCTACACCGCTAAGGTCATATTTTTTAGATTTATCTATTTTGGCCTTAATACGATTAACAATATTTTTCATTATAATTGGGGGTTCAGCTCCTTCTTCTGAACAAAATAGATTTCTATAGGATCATTTAAAGACTCTTCCTCTAGACTAGACTCATCTGAATCTTTGGAAACTGAAGGGGTATTGCTTTGATATACTACCTTCAGTTCCATAAGAGCCACTATATCTTTGGGCACAATGGGACTAGAATTCCTGGAGAAAGAAAAATATGCAGGAAAAATTAATTTAGGTTCACTTTGGAGGATTTTACGAATAGTTTCCTCTAGTGGAGTTTCTCTCAGCTCAGCGCTAGACATTTTTTTAAAGGACGATTTCTTGGAGCTAAACTTCTGCTTCACTTTTTTTTGCCTTGGCAATGTTAACAGTGATATCACTTCCAGAATTAGAAGAATCAGAGGAACTTGTATCAGAATCGGAACTATCGCTAGATGAGGTATCAGAAGAAGAATCTGAATTTGAATCCGAATCTACAGTAGCGAGATTAACCTTACCTTTCTTCGACTTCTTGCTTTTCTTTTTCTTCTTTACAGAACACTTACAAGAAGTGTGTCCAAATCTAACACACTTGGTACATTTCTTAACAGCATGTCTAACAGCAGATTTGATAGCATTTATTGTGACCTTATTTAGTGTTATGCTAGCTATACTATCAGTAATATCATCCACAAGGTCATAATTATAATCATTGTCAGGAGTTACATTACCTTTCTCTCTTATTAGATCACTTAAAAAACGTCTAATCATAAGGTTTTCTGCTCTCTTATTAGCTGATTTTTTACTATTACCTAGAGTCTTAGTTGCTTGAGACATAGTCTCTTGAAAGGATTTAGCTATGGCTTCTTGTAAATCAGCCTTAGTAATATTTTCCTGACCAGAAGAAGATACTAGTGATAGATTTGGCGCTGATTATTGTAACGCCTGAATCCTGCTATTTACAATTCTATCAACATCTTCTGTAGTAATACCCCGGTAAGAAGATGCTTTTGGTTTTGTCTTAGTAGCCGGCTGGTTATAAATATTTTCACCCAAAAGCAAATTATTCCTTTCCATTTCAATCTCTTCTAATGTTTCAATCAATTCATCATTTAAAGGTCTGTTTAAACCCAGTCATTTCATTTCCAACTTGTTTTCAGGAGACAAACCACGTATAAATTGTATTCTTTTTTCACAATCAGATATTCAAACCCAGTTAGCATATTTATTTATCTTTCTATAGTAATTTCTAACTGAATCAGATCCTTGAGTCAAAGTACCAAAGATCAATTCCTGTTGCTCTCAAATAACTGTAGGATAATTCTTTTTAAACCAATAGATGACCTGACTAATATTGATATCAGAAAGAATTATATAGTTATTATTATTTAAAGCTCCATTTAATGCATTAATTGTCATATCAGCGTCTACAGGACACCCTCCAGCAAGAGACCAATCCTCATCCATATGAACATTATGTGCTAGAATAACTGTAATGCCAGTAGCTTCATTCGATAATGCTGGTGCTGGAGTACTATCTGGTGCATTAATCATGGCGGCCATTATATTAGCATTATTTAAGGCCACTATAGCGGCATAGTTGCTAAAGCATTCCCACATCTTACATGATTTAATCGCCATTTTTTATCTATAAGTTTGTCTTTGATCCAGCGTGATGCCTCATCTGTCAAGTATGACCGAAATAGTTCTAAAGCTCTCTGTTTGCCACTTGCATTAGCAGTAGTAATGTTGGCCACTGTAAGATAGAGTCTGTAATCTTTTATGAATTCATCTATATCTTCATCTGCTCTACCTGAGAATCTTTTGGATGCATACCCTGCCATTCCTATATGCAGAAGATTATTTTATAATGCAAATATTTGTCCTTGCAAATTTAAAATATTCTGGCGTTCTGCTTGAGTCTTATTTTTCCATTTCTCATAACGCTCATAGAGCCTGTCTCGATTATACTCTAATTGACCTATATTCCCTCTACTTCACTATAGGTGGTGGGTATTTCGCTGATACAGTAATTGTAAGGTAAATTTTTCTTGTACCAGCTCACCTATACGATTTTGCTTTCTTATTATCCTATCTAACATTCTATTAACTTGGTTTTGGCCATTAGTTTGCAACTGATGAAGGTCAGCAATAACTATTTGTTCCACTCCTTTAGCATTCTGCCTTTGTATAATTTCATTATCATGCTTAGCCTCTGCATCATAATGTCTCTATTGCTCACGAACTAAATCCTGATGTAAATTATTTTCTTTTCGTCAAATTTGCTTTGTTGCCCTTTTTATTTGATCTATTAGAATATCTCTAGCCGTTGCCCTATTATCTAGATAACAATCTATGGCATTTGCTAGCTCTGTGATGGTGGCCATTTCAAAGTTATTATTAGGATTATACAAGTCTGGAGAATTCCCTCGTACTGGCGTATTTTTTTGTAATAAAATAGTCTTGATCTAGCATCGTAATTTCTCAACTTACTCTTCAGATTCTTCCAAGCACTTTTCTAAATTAGAGATATAGTTTTCCTTATCTTGTATATCCTTTTTAGCTTAATATAACTGACTTTTTAGGCTGGAGATTTCAGACTTCAACTCTACTATCTCTTCTTTCGAAGCATTCTCAAGACGTTCTATCTTCTCATTAAGAGTCTGGATTTCTTGCTCACACTAGAAATAATCTCACTCCAGCTGATTAATTCATCTTTCATTCTGTTGATTACTATCAACTTCTGTTTGCAATTCACTACGAAGATAGTAGTTCTCCTTCTCCAGCTCAGCTTTATATTCTTCACATGTTCTTTTTTGCTTTGGATGGGCCTCTGAAATGCCATTCTTTTTTGTGATTATAAAAGAGAATCGGAATGAGCTAACCACAAATTTTGATAGACCCTTATGAGACTCAGAGAATTGAAAAATATCATATTGTGTGAAATATATTATCACCCGTCTGGCTATCATTCCAATCCTAAATCTTTGAGAAATGCATGTAAAAATAAGGCATCAATTTCGCCTAAGTGAATGCAAAGATTTTTTAGAGAATCAAGAGTCATATCAAACTAATAAAACCTCTCCAAAATACATCCTTAGAGTCAGCTATGGACGAATAACACACCCCAACTGTGTACACCAGTGCGATATATTATTTCTCACTCATGATTATTATAGAGGTAAAAAATATAAAGCAATACTCAACATTATAGACTGCGCTTTCAGATACAAGACCTTAGTTCCTCTTAGATCGAAGAAAAGTTCTGAAGTTACTAAAGCATTCAGGAGAGTATATGGTAATCGAAATAATCTATTGACCTGGTCAAAGCTTCTACAATATAAAGGAGATCGTGAATTTATGGGCGAAACTTCTCGATTGATGCAAGAGCATGATGTTACAATTTGAGTAGTCGGCCCATATTGTCATAGGGGACTTGCTTTTGTGGAGCGTTTCAATCAGACACTCTCAAAAATTCTATATAAGATCCAGTATGCTGTTGAGTTTATGTCTTCTGATCTTAGATTAATAAGAGTATATGTTAGGTATTTACCGGAAGCTATTGATTATCTGAATAACTATCCCATATGTCTTATTCGAGAATCAGGATCAGAAAAGTGGAGACTCAAGCCTGTGAAAGCTATTGCATTAGAATGAGTCAAATCTAGACCATCTACAAAATATAAGCGTCCGGTTGGAAAAGATGAAATAACATTAAAGAAAGGTGATACTGTCCGCTACCTATTTGCCAATGCAGAATGGGAGGGTGAAATGAAGAATCAGAAATACGCAACTGACCCTATATGGTCGCCTTCTATTCATAAAATCCGAAAAGTTATCATCATAAAGAATGAACCAGTATTATATTATCTCGAAGGTGATGAATTTACACCAAAGTGGGGGTTTATGCGAGAAGAACTCATGTCAATAGCCGATCCAGAAAAAGTTGTGTATCTACCACAAAGCATATTATCTGTACATGTCTTCTATATTACTAATAGAGAGATAGATCAAGCTATTGATTATGCCAAGAAGTGTGGTGATCAATGTCTAGGGAGAACTGGGCGAATAAATGGTCATAGTATATATCTTTGGTCTTATGAAGATGGTGCGCATCAGTGGGAGTACCCACTAAAATATATCATGAAAAAATTTGATTGGTGTTCGCTATGTCATCATTCGAATGGAGAGCACCAATGCAGATATATTTTTGAGGATCTGCTAGGTAAGAAATTCCCGCTATGTAAGGCTAAGTTCTTAGATAGACTACACTTGGATGGTTATAATGAGAAATTGCGTCTTGCATTCGAATTCCAGGGTCCTTAACACTATCATCACAATACTTTCTATCACCAGGAGAATGAAAATCTAAAAACACAAAATATACATGATCAGAAGAAGTGGGATATCTGTAAGAATCAAGAAATATGCCTCATTGAAATTCCCTATATCGCTGATCTCCTGTCCTATATCAGACATACTCTAATCGAGAAAGGATTCTTGAGTAATTCTTCAAGTTAGTTGGAGTGAATTATTTTCTTGGTAATTTTCTGAGACTAGCATTTCCACAAATTTCATAATATATTTTTTAAGTATGTTATTAAGCAATATGAAAGATCATAAGAAACATCAAGTCGAAAAGCTTGATCAGCAAAAAAGAATCATTCTCTATATTGATGAAATAAAAGATGTGAAAAAATTCAACGTACTGAACTCAACGCCTTAATGACCCTTTACATTATTAGTTAGCTGTCATACCAATTCAGGGAAAATGAATGAAGTCATCTGCCTATTATTGGGAAATAAGCTTTATTGAATGTTCAATAGAAAAAAAAGGGGACTAGATATATTTTGAATGATGATTTAGTACTTATCGGCTACCATCTCAAGGAACCAAAATATTTATATCTCAAATCGGGATATCAGATCATTGCAAATAGCCCAGAACCATATTGTGAAGATGTAACATTTCGGGCGATAAAACCTGTTAAAATCCCAAAGCTAGAATCATTCTTCCTGGAAAGGGGTACAGTAGTCATATTCGAAGACTTATGTGCTGATTCAAAGAAGATCCAGGAGAAAATTGTTCCTTATTTTACTGAAGGACGCCACAAAAATATAAGCCCAATTTACATAACGCAAAGCTTTTTTGACTGTCCAAAGATAATAAGAAAAAAATTAAATTATATCATACTCTTCAATGGGTTCACCTCAGATGAACTAGCCTGTATTTTTCGTATATATGCTAATGACTGGCATAGCATATATACAGATGTTGATAACTATCTATGTGATCAGAACTTTATTGTCATTGATTTGACAGTATCTCCAAAACACCCACATAGGATATGAAAAGGCTGGGACCAAATTTTTGAAAAAAGTACCCCTAACTAATAAGAAAAATCTAACTTCATAGATGCCAGTTTTTTTTCACCTCCTGCAACAGCATCTTCAAATCCTCATTTTCATATCGCATTTTCTTATTTGCAGTAACCTACTCTCTATATTCCTTTTCTATGTCATGCATAAATTTCCCAAAAGTTTGTTTATTATAATCGAGCAAGTGCCTTTTTTTCTCATAAATTCGAAAAAACAAATAATATATTTATGCTTCTTTTTTCTAAGCAGACGAAGAAAAAAGGCTTCAAGGGCGCAATGTTTTTTCCTGAGTAATAGTTTTACATTTCTTCCTATTTAACGAATTCTCATAAACCTCTAATGTGTGTCTCAAATAAGATTCAATTTGTTCAGACTTTCTGGAAATAGATTCTAATGGAATAGGATCTTTAGAATGGTGTAAGAGTCTCTGACACGCTCTCTTAGCAAGACTTTCAGATAGTCTATCAATAATATGCTTATAGTCTGAATAGAACATTTTATTAGATATAGTTTTGCGCAAAAAAAGTTTTCATGCAAAATAGTCCTATAGCATATAGGATGTTTGCTAGTAAAATGGGGCTCTGAGTCTAAAAAATTTTTTTGAATAAATTAAAAAATCAAAATAAACAAAAAACTAGCTTTAAATTTGAGGTGATCTATTTTT